TACATATGTATATATATATATATATATAGGAGTGTAAGTGTATATGTCAATCTGTATAAAAAAAAAAAAAGTAAAAACAAGAAAAATAAAAATATGCAATAAATATATAATTTGTTTCGCTGTATGCGAAACAAATTATATAAAAAGTGGAGACAGAGCTGCGGAGACAGCTGAGGAGACAGCTGAGGAGACAGCTGAGGAGACAGCTGAGGAGACAGCTGAGGAGACAGCTGCGGAGACAGCTGAGGAGACAGCTGCGGAGACAGCTGAGGAGACAGCTGAGGAGTCAGCTGAGGAGACAGCTGAGGAGACAGCTGAGGAGACAGCTGCGGAGACAGCTGGTGTGGGGTGTGGGGTGTGTTGGGGGGACTCAGGCTCATGCTGCTCTCTGCTGCAGCAGCCACTGCAGCAGACAAGCTATGTCTGCTGCAGCAGTTTGCTGCTGCTGCGTGTCTTGTGGCAGCTGCTGCAGCAGCTGCAGCGCGCGGTGTATATACAGCCGAGAGAGGAGACGAGCTCTGGGTATTGCTGCTCCTTGTTTTATCATTCTTGCTGCTAGTGCTGCATCTCCTTCTTGCTGCTGCTGCTGCTGCCGCTGCAGCAGAGGCAGCAGCTGCTCCGGATACTCAACTGCTGCCAGCAGCAGCGGAGCAGTTATCACTCCCTAACATACACACATACACACACACCTAGCCTGCTGCTGCTGCTGCTGCTGCTGCTGCTGCTGATACTACTGCTGCTGATACTGCTGCGGCTGCTGCTGTTGCTAATACTCCTGCTGCTGCTGCTGCTGCTGATACTACTGCTGCTGATACTGCTGCTGCTGCTGCTAATACTCCTGCTGCTGCTGCTGCTGCTGCTAATACTCCTGCTGCTGCTGCTGCTGTTGATACTACTGCTGTTGATACTACTGCTGCGGATACTGCTGCTGCTGCTGATACTGTTGCTGCTGATACTGCTGCTGCTGCTGCTGCTGCTGCTGCAGCTAGCTGCCTATACACTCTAAAGCTAAAACCAGGACACCACCATACACCCCTCCGAACGTGCATCCATACATTCTACAAACAACGCATAAATAAATAAATAAATAAATAAATAAATAAAAATAAATAAATAAAAATAAAAATAAAAAAAATAATTACATTTTTTATGTCTGCGTTGACTGGCTTTCCTGCTGCTAGCGCGGAGACAGTTACGTCTGCCTCATCGTCGAGGAGCTGAAAGAACAACCCCACCACCCCCCCCAGGTGGAAACACCATTCTATCCAGTCTCTGTTTGCCCCTGCTGCAGCACAAAAGAGA